CAATAACAATGGGAAGAGAAAACAATGCCGCTAAAAATAAGTCCATCACCGGAAGGAAACCGCTCACAGAAAGGGGCAGGCGGTGGGAGGACAGGCTTGCGCTACTGTCTTCAGAGTGCGAGATGGTGTTTGCAGCCAAGAAGCAAGAATAGTGCAGCTGGCACAGAGAGCAGGGGTAGGATGCTTCCCTGACATGTCTGAGCCCTGGGTTTAATCCCTGTGCACGAAATCAACAAGACCAAAGGACAAATTATTAGAATAAAAGAGAAATCAAAGGAAGGGAAATAGCCATAAACTGGTAAGTATTAAATTCTGAAAATTAGCCCAAGTACAAATTCAACCATGGCCAAATTACTGACATTCACAAATTGTGGTTCAAGGGATTTTTCAAGACCCTAAAGCAAACACATACAAATGAAGCAAAACAAAACGAAAACCAAAACAAAACCCTGGAAATTAAAAGGGAAGGGTCAAGAGTCACAGAGACCAGTCTGAGCCCAAGGACCACTCAACAGGGGCTCAGGAGACCATGCACCACAGAAAGGAATTTATAATAATTTAAATATTTGCTAGTGTTCAAAGTCTTCATTTAGTACAGACACGATGAATTTTGCCAAAAGGTCAAGCTGGTACAGTTTCAAACCCCAAGAATATAAACGACAATCAAAACACTTCGACTTTTAGTGGATAAAGGAGCAGGCCTGCCCTAACATAGGCATGACACCCCACAGTGACTACTCAGGACGGATGGCTGGAGATTCCTTTGCAGTTCTGAGGGAAGGGGAATTTAAGCTGAAATTCTATGAGGGAAAAAAAAGTTTCGGAAAACTAACATAATTTGAGCATCTGTACATCAAACTGTTGAATTAATGTTGTCACCTGTTGAGTACACGGGTAAAATTATGCATTTAAGATGAATACAGAATCTTCTTGTGAAACTGAGAGGTTTAGGGACAGTAAGATGGCTTAGCAGGCGAGGGTGCCTGATGCCAAGCCTGAGGGCCCAAATGGTAGGAGTAAAATCAGGGAAGTTGTCCTCTGACCTCTTCAAGTACAGCACACACACACACACACACACACACACACACACATACACACACATGCACACATGCATGTGCATGCACGCACACACACGGGATTATATAATTAAAAAAGAAACAGCAAATGACAACCAAAGAAAGATAATGATAAGAGAGAAAAGAGGGAGAAAGGACTAAAGCAAGAAAAGAAAGGAGGAAGAAGAGATGAGAGAGGGGGGATGCACAATCAATGGCAGCAGAGGGAGGAAGGAAGGGAGGCAGAGAAAGAGGGGGAGGCAAACCGGGACAGATATGGAGCAAGGAGAGAGGAGAATTGGTGTTTACGTTGTTAAGCTAGGACAGGAAGTTTAAAAGGCCCAGGGCATTCCTCACAAGGTATTCACAACAGATGCTGAAATCTTTAGGGAAAAGATTTATATAAAAAGATTTTATATAACGGAAACCCGAGGTGCTTTTTCAAAGGCTAGTTTTACGTGGTTTTTACATGCCTGACAAGGAACACACACAAGGCTTTTTGGTTCTTCCTTTTGCCTGCAGCTACCTACCTCTTACCTTAACCCTCATTCCTACTTCACTGTGAAACTGGGCTGTAACTGAAGACGGAAGGCAAAGGCAGAGAGAAAGAATGGTTCTGACATCATTATCTCTTAACTGTCTGGTGTGTGTGTGTGCGTGTGTGCACGTGTGCATACGCTGAGCTGTATCCACTGTCCTGCCTGGAAGCAGCAGTTCATAGCTGATTGCACCCAAGAAAAACTTCAGTTTTTACACTTAAAGACCAAGGTACAAGTGGTCTCTTCATCTGTCACTTCAGAGAGGGTCAGAATCAAAGAAGGGGTCGGCCACAAACGACCCCATACCTTACTGGTTTGTATTGTTATAGAAATGCAATGTCCCAAGGGTACTGGTGACTTTGATGTCTACAACCACAGCCTAACAGAAACAATTTAAAAGAGAAATCCTGATATGTCCTCATGGTTTCAGTCCATCGTGGAATGAAAGGCATTATGGGATAGCTCAGCTATGGTGGTAGGAACATTCACGGAGTCTGTTTAGTTCTTGGCAAACCAGGAAGGGGTGGGTATAACCTTCAAAGGCATGTCCCTAGTGACCTACTCCTACCAGCCAGGCCCTACTCCCGAAAGGTCCCTCAGACTCCCAACAGACTATACCAGGTGAAGAACAAGCTGATGTAGGAGGTTCTTCTGTCTATGTGTTGCTTTCATTGGTTGAATAAAGAAACTGCCTTGGCCTTTTGATAGGGCAGCCCTTAGGTGGGCAGAGTAGACAGAACAGAATGCTGTGAAGAAGGCAGTGTGGCAGATGCCATGAATCTCCTGCCTGAGATGGACGTAGGTTAGAATCTTGCCAATAAGCCACAGTCATGTGGTGATACACAGATTTAATAGAAATGGGTTAATCAAGATGTGAGAGTTAGCCAATAAGAGGCTAGAGCTAATGAGCCAGGCAATGGTTTAATTAATACAATTTCTGTGTGGTTATTTCGGGAGGTGTAAGCTAGCTGGGACGAAACAAGCAGCCCACTCCTCCTACTATAAGAAACAGTCTAATAGGAACCAATGGAAAGCACTTCAGACACAGGATTCAGGGCAAGCACATAGACCCTTTCTAACTCAGCTCGCTGAAGGAGGGCCCAATCCTTTGCCTGAAGTAGCTGGAAAGAGATTTGGCCAAGAAAGTGGGTAGGCACAGTTTTCAAGACTGTTGTACGATGGCCCTGGAAACAGTAGAAAGGCAAGTTCCAGGGAACTGAATCTATCAGGACGAACTTTTCACTGGCGGGCATCTCAGCCAAGACATATGCGGCTGAACTCTTGGCTGCAAGGTGCCGAAGCCATCTTCCCTCCATTATTGCTAGAGAGAAACAGTAATCCTTCCACCCAGAACGACACGGACTTCAACGAAGGAGAAAATTCAAATGTCATGGAACTCACGATGCTCAGCAAGTCATAGTATAATAGGCAACATGACATTCTGCTGTTCAACACACGCTCCAAGTCACATGCGACTGTTTAGATTTAGACTGATTAAGATCATACAAAATACCAAATCCAGTTAACCTGCTTGTTGCAGATATGATGGAGGCTGTCATATTAGAATAGAAGCAAACCATTGCTATTATCTAGAAAGTTCTGAATGGTGGCATTATTCTATATTATCACAGATGCATAGGTTAATTAGGTATATGCAAATTCCCTGGTAATACCCTTAATGATGACCATATATAAGAAAAAAATACAAACAGCTTGAAAAGACTGAAATTGGAGACATCATCCATGATCACTATCTGTGGTGGTTTGAATAAGAACGTCCCCCATCGGTTCATATATTTGAACACTTAGTTGCCAGGGAGTGGCACTGTTTAAGAAGAATTAGAGTGTGTCTTTGTTGGAGTGGGTGTGACCTTGTTGGAGAAAATGTGTAGCTGAGAGTGGGTTTGAAGTTTCAATCCCCAAACTAGACCCACATATCTCTCTCACCCTTGGTATAGATGAAAGTTTCTGTCCCGCCCAGTCCCGTAGCTGTTCAGCCCCAAATAAACACACAAAGGCTTATATTAATTATAAACTGTTTGGTCTATTGTTCAGGCTTAATACTAACTATCTCTTATGACTTAAATTAATTCTTATCTATATTTAGCCGTGTGGCTTGGTACCTTTTCTCAGTAAGGCATTCTCATCTTGCTCCCTCGACTTCTGGATGACAACCGACTTTCTGCCTTTCCTCTTCCCAGAATTCTCTTAGTCTGGCCTCCCTACCCATACTTCCCTCCGGGATACTGGCCAATCAGCGTTTTATTAAACCAATATGAGTGACAAATATTTACAGTGTACAAGAGCATTATCCACAGCACTTGGCCTGCAGATCAGTATATAGCTCTCATCCACTGCTCCAGGGCCAACCAGGTATCATGTTATCTGCCATGATGACAATGGACTAAACCTCTGAAATTGTCAGTGAGCCCCCAATTGAAAGCTTTCTTTTGTAAGAGTTGCCTTGTCATGGCGTCTTTTCACAACAAGAGAAACCCTAACTAAGGAACTAGCTGACATCCTGGGTATCTTCAATTATATCATGACAGAAGCTGCACTGGAACAGAAGAGAAACCTAAATCAGACGGATGGAATCGCCCCTCAGGCAGAATAGCACAGTACCAAATTTCTTTTATGCTGTGTAACCATCAACCCAGAGGCCCACGAATCCTCTCTGGATAGCATCAGGGAAGGGATCGTGCACACGGAACCCATTCAATAAGTACCCGCTGTGCCTAGCCACACTGCCAGGCAGCTGTTAAATGGCTCAGCGAGAGGAGGAAGAAGCACACTGGAAGAACACCTTCGGTCCAGCTGACGTAGGTGGGGTGGGCGTGACTAATGGTGCCAGGAGGGAAACCGTGGCAACACAACTACTGTGGACAAGGTGGAACTCCAATCAGCCACTTCTCACAAGACCCGCGATACTTCCCTCTACTTGCAACCACTCATTTCATTGGTTCCCATGTCTTCTAGTTTTATCAAAGTAAATTTTCTGAATCTAAAGGCTCTTTTGCTCATTTCCCATTTAAAACGATCCACTTGGACTTGCTTACAAGACCTCAGGTATGTCCCTGGGGCCCCTGTGCCTTCCACAGAATTTACATTCAAGGCTTAGCTACAGGTAAGGCCCTGAGCCTCCTAACTCTAACGGTTCACTTCACTATCAAGGAAGTCACAGAGTAACCTCAACAGAGAAGGGAGTAACCTTGGTGTGCAGGGAAATGCAGCCATGGAAGAGATGACTGATTGCCCAGGCTCTGGTCTACAGGATGCAGCCTTGCTCTTGGCTCTGGCTCCCTCTGAGAGTTAGGATGGACCAGCCTCTTCTGAGATGTTTCGCCATCTCTGTCACACCCAACCTGAGATCAAAGCAAACTCCTTTGGAATCAACCTTGCTACATACGGGAGGTTCGCTGACTCCAAAGACATCTCGAACATCCCGGACGGGTTGCTTGTTCTTCTTCCTCAGCGTCTGGGTATACGTGTTGTATCTCTTCTTCACGGCAGCTGCTTGGGTCCGAGTCAGCGTCGACAGGAGGGCTTTGCCATCTTCCTCTTCATTCCCAGAGATCAGGGTTGACAATCCCACATCTTGTAACCACTCCGCTTCAAGTTCTCCTTCTGGAAACAGCATAAGCAAGGGGAGGTTAGGGTCATTTCTAGAGGGCTATTGGTGCATGCAGCTCATTTCTGGATAAACCAGACACTCAGGAGCATCCGGAAACTATATAGTTATCTTTCTGTTGTTACTCTGAGACAAGGTCTTTAACTCATGATCTTCCTGCCTCTACCTCCAAATGCTGGGATTGCAGCAGCTGCCGCCATGGCCAGCTAAGGGTGTCTTTTCTTCTGCAGCAATTATGAAAGAATAAATGAAAAGTTTATGTTCTTTCTCTTTACATAAGTAAAATCATAAAATGCTGCCTGTAGAATAAGGTTATGTGGCAACTATGACAGGCAGTTTTCCTTGCTAGAAGGTTAAATATAAACCATGTTGGGACTTCCAATTTAAAAATAATAGATAAAATATGAAGTTATTTTACTAAAATCCTAACGGAAAAAGCATGGCTTTGCAAGACACAAACAGCTTCTTAGTCACTCAAATGCAGCTTCAAACCCACTAGCAGTTGACTGACATTGAAAAATGTTGCCTTGAGCCCTCAATCTCCCCTCAGCAAATGAGCACCAAGCATTTCCCTTCTCTTATGCGGCTCCAGCACCCATTCTGAACACAGGATGAACTTGCTCCCACCAGAAGTGGGGCTCAGTCATCGCTGACAGAGTTTCAATTTTCTCTGTCTTTCCAAAGCCTCAATGTGGTTCCCACACCATCTTCTGTTGATCAAGCCATGCAGGATGACTAGAGGCATCCTACTAGACCATCCTTACAGATTGTACAGACAAGACTTCCGGGCTCACCTCTGTCATACCCTCACTCCACAAGGTGAAAACTCGCTTGCTCTAAACTCACTAATTTGAATCCTGGACCCCAGTTAGGGCTTTGTCCCACAGGTACCATAATCCCACCCTCTAGATTTCTATCTACTGCTGAGTATAAGGGTCTGGATGTCTTCTCTTCCCTTTGACGCTGGAAGATATTCTGAACTTTTCTTGCCGGGATCTAAAGATAATAAGTAATTTCGGTTAATCCATGTGTCTGTGGTATTGTTGCCTCTCTGCGTTCCCTGACCGACAAGCTGGACATAAGTCAATCCCGAGCGCAAGGCAATCTGCTAATGGAAGCAAGCATTTGTGTGATTGGCTCTGGACACTTAGCCACTGAGCCACCCACCAAGACGAAGGACACCGTGGAAGGCACAGCAATGACATCCACCCCCACCCACGACCACCATCAGGGCAGGGCCACGGTGTATAGCCACCATCCTCAGAGAGAACACATATACCACAACAGGGACAGCAATAAAAACAGAATGCAGCCATGAGGATACTCTTTTTGAGAAACTATTTATGAATCTGGCAAAGAACCTGGAGTAAAATATTTAATAGCTGTTCATTTTCCTGATATTCTGAACATGTGACAATCTGTCTATTTTTTTCAGAAGGCAATTCAAAACCCAAGGCTCATCTGTGAGCATTAATTAGTATGGTAAACAAAACGGATCAAAGTTAAAAAGAGTAACATATCCTGTGCAGAAAATCCGCCGCGCACACTTCCCTGGGAACTGCTAGCAGGCTTATCGCCAGCGAGGGCTGTTTGATGAGCAGATTAGGCTGCCGTGTAAACACGCTTCGGAGCCCTAGCCTGAGCGCCCTCAACCCTGCTTACGCTCTTGCATCATCTGTATAAACAGACACACGGAGCGCGCTTTCGGAGGCCCATTTCCTAACTTGGCAAAGACTTTATTGACTACTGTGCTTTTCTAACTTGGCTGCTCTGTAAACTGTCCCTTTAAAAGAAATGAAATACCAGCTTCGATGTGAGACGATATTATCTGGACCAGACTGAGGACAAACCTGGGAGGACCTGGAAGGCCTTCTTCTACTTAAGCCTTGGGTAAGGCTATCACGTCTCAAGACGAAGTCAGAAATACGAATGGACATTAACGCTTTAAAACATTGGAATGTCTCTCTCACCGTGACTTACGTGAGGAAAAATGAAAGAAGGGCAGAAACAGACAACAGAGACAACATAAACCATGGGAACTGATGGTTTACAACCTCAGACCTTTCCTTAGGGCAAGACATAGCTAGAATGCTTTTCTAGGTGAGACATGTCCATTGCAGACACCGGTGTGATTCACGTTTGCTGAATTAGGAAGAATCAAGTCTCGTGGTCTCTCCTCAGCTGTCACGCCTATGTCGGCAATCCAGAACACCCCATCCATTTCAGCCCCTGCATCCAACTCAGTATCAGTTTCACTCTATCAATCATGCTGCATTCAACACACTCAAGCCTGGGTTCATAGTCTCCATCCCCTACCCTGGTCCTCAATCACTCGTCCACATTTCAATACGCAAAGCCCGCTACCAACTAATGAGGCAAAGGAGGGGCCCCGGAGGCATCAACTCCAGCACATTGCCAATGCTTTTTATATTATTTCCTTATTACATCTCAAGAGTCTCCAACCTCCTTACTTCATTTTGCTTTGTATAGTCTAGGCTAACTTTGAACTCACCAACCTCCTGTCTCAGCCTTTTGAGTACTGTATCACAGGGTTGTGCTACCGGTAGCCCAGCCTCCTGGGCCTCCATTTATCTGTTCTTCCATGGCCTTTGTCAAAGCCACCATCTCTCACCTTGACTTCCACAACAGACTTCCAACAGCTCTTCCTAGACTCTCCAGGCCCCTCCAAACTGCTTCCACAGTGTCACTAAATTAGTCCTTGTAAATGTAAACACCATTTTTTCCTCTGGCTTTAATGTGTTCTGTAAGATGTGTTTATGCCATGTCTCCTCACCTCTTTCCCAGGCTACTGTGGGGCCCTTGAAGACTCCATGTCACATCTGGACAGGCCAGTTGTTGTTGGCTTTGTCACTACTGGCCATCTTTCTGATCTCAGCTTCTCTCTCAATGAAGTCTTTCCCCTGAGCCCAGGAGACAAGGTAAGGCCTTAACGCTAATAGCCTCAATTCTGCGATTTCTTTTTCCTTCAATTTTCCCTCAAGTAGGTCTTGATCTCATTTCATTAACAACCCTCCCCCCCCATCATCATCAAATTTTCTGTTACATAAAATTCATGGGAAAAAGGATGCTTCTGGCTTCTACTTGTAACTCTAACACTGTGGAGCGCCTAGCTGAGGGAAGGTGCACCTACTTGTGGAATTAATTAGTCAATAAGTAAGCTTCAAATGAAAAATATAATTATGGATGCTATCTTATCGAGTCATAAAACATGAATACTAACTTCTAAGAACAAGCCTACCTATCCTGTTCAGCATCTCACTCAGGAAGTTTGACTCCTCAGAAAGAGTGTTGGAGACATATTAAAAACGGGACTCCCATCTCCCATGGGAATCAGTGTAACTTTTAGCAAAACAGCACTGCATTATAAGTTTGAAATAAAACACATGAAATAATTACATATATATACTGGAGAGGAGCCAAACAAGGGCAGGAACTGGAGGGAAATAAAAATTCCAAATTTCTGTTTAGATAATGTACTAGTATGATTTGAATTTACACTGTCTTTTGGCTAAGAGCAGTTTTCAAGACCTGCAATACAAGGTGAGGGCAAACATACTAGAAAACTAATTTAGGAAGTTAAGGGAATATAAGGTCAAGATTAAAAACAACAACTATATTTCTACATATCTGAAGCAAAGTGATAAGAGCAGACCAATTAAAGAATCTCATTAAGAAGATAAATAGAAGCTGGAGAAAAGGCTCAGTGGTTAAGAGCACTGGCTGCTCTCCCAGGGGCTCTGGGTTAGGCTCCCAGCACCCACACTGTAGTTCACAACCTCCTGTAGCAGCAATTCCAGAGGGTTCCACAACCTTTTTGGCCTAACAGGCACCAGTCACACATGCAGTTCACACACATACATGGAGGTAAGCACTTACATAAAATAAAAGTAAGTAAATCTTTCTAAAAAAGAATATGAATAGTTAAGTCATAGAAACTTTTGCAATGTATGCATATATACATATCTTGAATGCATTAATAATTCCTACAAGTCAGTAATAAAAGGACAATGCTCTTAAATACTTGAAAGATTCCACAAAGTACAGGAAGGAACAATAAAGACAGGGAACACACTTGTCGTCAATGCCATGTAATCAGGACTAATGTAAGGTAATTCTACATATCTAGAATCACTCCTATTAAGAAAACAGACAATACCAAACTTTGAAAAGATGTAGAAAAAAAGATTTCTGTCTTAACCTACAGGGAAGGGTGCAAAATGGTACAACTTCCAGAAAAATCCCCACAGTTTCTTATAATTAATTAAATTTAATAAAAAGCCATGCATCTGAGAGAAATAAAAATGCATGTCTGCAAATAATTTCTATTTCAAATTTCTATTTCAAAGATTTTTCAAATCACCCATCTTAAGTGCTTGAACTATAAACAAAGAAAACGCATACCGCCATTAGCAGGTCAGGAAGACATGATGTACTCATTCCATGGACTGAACACACGAAGAGCTGAACCACCCCGACATCTGCTGAAACCGCACCCCTCAGCGCCGTGAGTGGAGCTTTGCTTACATATAAATTATGGGTTGAGTGTGTTCATTAAAACATGTAGATCATAAAAATGTTCAATTTCAGTCTACTTGTCATACTTCACTAAAGATACAAATTAAAAACAAAAGAAAGGACAGCTCCTAAAACACACATATAACAATGGAGGTGCAGGCTGTGCAGGCTGGGAGTAGCTCAGCGGCAGAGAGAGCACTTGCACAGCCAAGCATGGCAAAGCAAAACCCCAAACAAACCCCTAGCCAAACCAAATTATAGTGAGACTATACTGGAATAGCGCGAGCCCTTTAATTCATTACAGCTGGCACCTTTGAAGAGAAAGACACAGAGCAAACACCTGGAGGAGTCTGGGGCAGAGAATGACACAGTGTGCTGCCTGCGAGCCAAGGGCACCGATGGCCGCCAGCTTCAACCCCAGCCAGGAAGACAGCAGCGGCAGGATTCTCCTGATGGCTTCAGATAGCAAGACCTTACTGGCCTTCTTGTTCTACCTTCCAAAACGGTGATGCATACATTTATGTCGTGAAGCCCACCCATTTTTGTGGCACTTTGTTAATGCATCCCTAGAAAGAAATGCCAACTACCTAGAACCAAAAAGCAATGACGTACCGACATGCTAGCTAAATCTTCTAAGTACTGAGCATGGTGACACAATCCCTCTGACCCACAAACATGGGAACCGTAGCTACCTTTGGCCCTAGACAGTGTCATTCGGAGGTGTGACAGACAAGAATGAAGCAGGAAGTCTCCTGGTTGAATGGAATCCACCCCCGCCCTGCGGCCACATTTCTCTGGGTGATAAGGTCTTACTACACAGCCCAGGTTGGTCTCAAACTAGTAATCCTCCTGTCTCAGCCTCCTGTGTGTTGGAATTATAGACATGCATGACTCAACCTGACCAAATGAATCTTGATCCACGTTGGTTTAGAGAAGGGCATGCCTTTGCCTCCATCAGAGGCCATGGATTGTGCACCTAGGATCCTTGTGTCTTTACAAGTCCTTCCAAAGAGACGCCTGCAAGTGAATATTAACTCTAGCTAGGAAACCTGTATTTTGTAGCAGTTTAGGCTAGCAGAAAATATTTTCCATGGCCCTTGGGCTTGAACAAATGGTAAATGTATGGCCGGAGTAAGAGCCTGGTTTCTCGTCACGTAAGGGAGTTACTTATAAGGAGAGAATGCCAGTAAACCCCTACGCCTCAGGTAGAACTGGAGGTTACTGGGTTGCAAGCAAAAAGAAAAAAAAAAGAAAAAAAAAAGGAAGAAAAGCAGGGATATGGGACAAGAGGCATTTGTCTTCAAACATCTGTCTGAAAAACTGAAGGAAGGATGTGAGCAGTGGGAATAAGCATACACTTCGCTGGGAAGACTATTTCCTAGAACAGATGCTCACAGATGCTCATGAACTATTTGTGAGGGTTTCTTGTTCGTGTGCTATAGGGTTCTAACTGATCATAGAAGTGATCTTATCTTGGTGTTGGGAAACACTAAGACAAGAGAATGAAGGATGAGAAGGCTTTTCAAGTTGGTGGTTAAGTACTAATTAATGAAAAAAATTCTTGGACATTTTATACACCCACAAGGTCAAGCCAGGCAAGATGACTTTCAGTCCAGGATCCTGGTCTCTGGGACCCACAAACCACGATGCTCTTTCTGGTTTGTCTGCTGTTGTTTTCTGTGTTTACTTACTTTTGGCTTTGTCTCCACCCTCAATGCTTAATATAGTTTTTATTTTGCGGAGTACCAAGCAGTTTAATATGTTACTACTAACAAACGTTCCAAAGTAATTTCCCTCTAAAATCGGTAAGGCAAATCTTTCACCTCCCCTCTCCCTCCCGGCTCTCTCGCTACCCTAAATGTCAAGAGCATCGGCGTGCCAGTATGTTTGGTGAAAAGGAGACCACCCCAAGGAAATAGCACCCCCAAAGCAGGGATCCTTAAGGACTCTTGTCTGGATGACACTATGGCCTGCCCTCCCTCACTGCCGGCAGCAGGTACCCCATCTCTATTGAGGATAGACTTGATGGGCTGACTTCTTCCCTGACACGAAACCCACAGGGCAGGTCCAGCCCTTACCATCCACAGGCTTGGCCTCGGGGGTGGGCGGCTGCTCCTCCTGTGCCCCCACGCTGCTCTCTTTGATACTCCCGATTTCCGGCCAGAACTCCTCCACCGACGTGCTGCTGTCCACAGAGGCTTGGGAGTTGGAGCGACTGAAGGCAGGCGGATGCAGGGATTCATTGGAGAGCATCCTGTTAATTCTTCGGCAGCGAGGAATGGATTTTCTGGGGAAAGAAAAACAACTACATCAAACCACGCGCCTGTGCAAAGTCACCGAAGAAACAGAATCTAGTTGTCAACAGAGCTGTTAGTGCTACCGGGAGGGACTTGCCCAAACGAGCACCATTTGGTGGGGACTATTTCTGCCCCCATACTTCATCACAACTCTGTATAACTATATGAACATTAACAGGAATTTTAAAAATAAGGATCATATAAACAGGAAGTTACAGCTCTCAGTAGAAATGTGTACACCTAAAGCTTGTTTCTGTAAAGGGCCTTAGATGATGGCAAAGGGGTAGGAAGTCAGCTGATGGCACACTTGGAGGTAGGAAGTGCTGGTGAGGTTGCGGAGAGGCTGGAAGCTCTGTGTACAGTTGGTGGACAACACCAGATGGTTCGGTCTCTTTGGAAAACTACTGCAGTCCCTCAAAAATAATTTTTAAAATAGGTATTACCACATAATCCAGCAATTCCACTTCTGGAATACACCCCAAACAAACTGAAAATGGGTACTCAAAGGGGCATCTGTATGCTCATAGCAGGTAGTCCTCAGTGGGCAAATGGACAAGGTGTGGTAGACCATGGAGTGGTACTTTGCATATTGTGGCTCAGTGCTAGAGCCCTTACCTAGCGTGTGCGAGGCTCTGGGTTCAATGCCCATCAGTGGGGAGTGTACTAGAAAGGGAATTTGGAATCATGTTTCCACATGGCTAGAACTTCAAGGCACCGTGTTAAGTGAAATGAGCCAGTCTCAAAGGATACCGTGCGATTGCATTTTTGTGAGTACTGAGAGTAGTCAAATTCACAGAGACAGAAAGTGGTTGCCAGGAGTGAGGGGTAGGCAGTTAAGGTCTCAGTTTTGCAATATGCAAAGAGATCTATGATGGTGATGGCTGCATATTAGGACTGTGTTTAATGACACTGGACTAACAAATGCTTAAGATGGTAAGTATTATTGCTACATTTTTTAATTGTAATATTATAATTATTATTTATAATAATTTTATAAAATTAGCTACGGAGATTATGAGCAGTGAATACAAATAATGTGGAACCCCTGGTAGGATGAGGAAGTGGGCAAAGAGCCAGAGCTCAGGGACCCTCGGCAAAAGGGAGAGAAGCAAATCCCCACTAAGTGTGGATCCAGTGGTTGAGGAGGGCAGTCTGGCGCCTCCCGTGGTCTTCACTACCAGGCAGCACCCCGGCCAAGGTAAGAGAGCAGCAGCTGAGGCCAAGCCCTGCGTGGCTTCATGGGGTTGGCTGCACATGTAAAACACCCAGAACATAACAACAGTCGAAGGAAGCTTGCTTTGAAAAGAGACACAGTAAGCTACAGAGATGTCAACATGTGGTCAGCAATTACACAAAACAGACCTTTTACTTTTCAGGTACATAACTGACAAATACTACATTTCCCGAGAGCAGATTGGTTATCTGGAACACCTTGGTCCCCAACAATGAAGCCTGAAATTCTTTTTTTATGCAATAAAATCTTGTGTTCTTATTTGCTATAGTTTGGCTCTTAAACCATCCCTGAAAGCCCTTGTGGTGACAGTCTGCACCTCAGCTGGGATGCTAAAGAGAGGTCGCGGTACCTCTATGTAGTCTAGTCAGGGTTGTCAGTGGGAGCAAACCCTGGAAAGGGAGATTGTCAACCTGGCCCCTTCTCACTCTTTGCTTCCTGGCCATCATGTGTGAACACACCACATACACACACACACACACACACACACTACAAACAGAACACATCCACACCCACCACACATACAAATACAAACACACACATCACAAACCACACTCACCTACCACACATATAAATATACACACACACACATCCCACACACCCCACAAATGGAACCCACCCACACCCACCACACATACAAATACACACACACACACACACCACAAACCACACCCACCCACCACACATAAACATATACACCACACCACCACACTGGAAAGGGTTAATCAGAGTAAAGGCACAGTGGTATCCAACTCTGGCCATTAGGTCCCCCTATGACATTTGATAAGCAGGAGGGCAGTGGTCTGTCATCAACCTTAGCCATGGCCTGCAGCATCAGTAAAGCTCACTGGTCCATTCGCATGAGATTACCCAAGAGAAGCAAGCATACTGCTCTACTAATGGGCCCGAAAACTTCCATCTCTCCACGCTGTCTAGACCCGAACCATCGTTATAAGAAGACTGCCCCTGTGTCGCTGACCTTCTCCCGAAGTCTGTTCCTAAATGAATTCTGACATTAACTGGCAGCAGAAAATTTGCTTTTCAAATCTCAAAACATTTTTAGAAAAAAATATGAAATACTCACCTCTAAAAAATGTGTTGAGCAATAAAAAAGAATTTGGGGGCAGCCTTGTTTGATAAACTGTTGATAAACTGTTCTGTGAATTCCTTACACTTGGAATTCCTTACACTCGTGCAGCTGAGCCTCAAATTGTGACCAGAGCTCCCCTTACGGTTCGGGTGGGTGCTGTGTTTTTCTTTTATAACAAGACTATTTCTGAACACCACTAACAAATTCACAAGGTATTGGTAAATCAATACAGGTTTCTTGTAACCATGAAACCAGCACCGTTACTTACTGCCCATTGTCCTCCGAGTAGCCTATTCAGAGAAAAGCATATGGCTATCCAGAAAGTTGTACAATTGTGGATTTTATGGTTTAACTTCTTTAAAAAAATACACACACACCACACATAAACATAGGAGTGGCCTGATGGAAGAGCACAGCACAACATGTATAGATACTGGGTTTAATCTCTAGAACCAGATTGTGTGTGCACGTGCATGTATATGTGTGCACACATGCATGCATGTATATCTGACTTAGAAAAATTATAGTTTTACAGTTAACATAGACTAAGTTTTAAGAATTATAACAATATAGTCTAAGTATAAATTTAAGATCAATAATTATATAAAATGAAATGGAGGCTCTTTCCCCATCTGAATGATATTAATATCATTCATTTAATTTTTTTATTATTATTTACTCTATGTGTGTGGGTATTTTGTCCTACCTGCATGGTACCTTCAGAGTCCAGAAGAGGTAATCAGATCTAGAACTGGAATTATAGATGGTTCTGAGCCCATGTGGGTGCTGGAAACTGAACCTGGGTCCTCTGTAAGAGCAGCCAGTGCTCTTAACCATTGAGTCATCCCCTTGGCCCCCATAACAGTGCTTGTTTTTCTTACTCAAAAAAATATGCCAGATGCTTTTTTTTTTATTTTGCATGTTATGTCAATGACTTCAGACAGTAGAAAAACCAAACCTTGGAACCTAAGGAAATAGGAAATGTACCCAAGAACTGAAGAAGTTTGAAATCACATCCTTGTAAAATAACAAGAAAACCACAGGGAAGATAGGCTTAGGGCTAAGAACCGTGAGCTCGGTTACAGGAGAGTTCCCTACCCATCGATGGAATCTCAAGGAGACCGTCGAGAGACTGCTGACAGCAGGGACAGCAGGTGTGTGTGTGTGTGACACTGGTCTCGAGCAGCTGACAGAGACAGTCATCCGAAGAATCCCTTAGCTGTGGTAGCAGCTATTATTTTTGGCAGGGAAGCCAAACAGCACTTTTGGGACAAAAGGCCTAGGAAGAGTCTTTGTGTTTGTGGGAAGGGCTGCAGAGAGTTCATCTTCATCCTGGTACAGATCACAACCTCCCCTCTTGACGCACTGCATAATGCTGGCCCCCAGGCCATTCAACGACTACACGAGGCGTGGCCTACAGCTTCATACCTCACCATATTAGGACAGACTTATGCTTAGGTTTCATCAGATGTTTGTATTTTTTTTTCTTCCTTTAGACCAAAACAATGCCGGGAAAATCTTACACGAAAACCAGACTGCATTGTGCCATGCAGCAACTTTGGCTAGGAAAACACTACAAGGCTCAAAATGGATCTTAAGGGTATGTGAATAGCTATATGTTCAAAGTGAAATTTTTATTTCTCCGGAAATCATTTTTTTTCTCCAGAGAAAGATGTCTTCCATCCACTGCCTTCCAGTCATGTCCATATAGTCTGCTGGCAGTGTCTGCAGCCACGGATGTTCTGCTGGCCACTCTCTGTGCTCAGCTACTACACAAGTCAGGCTCCCGGCCTCCTTCCATCTCCCTGCAAGGACACAGGGGTCACAGACACACACCACTGCTCTGAGCTGTATTTTTGCTTTATTTTACTTTATTTTTTTCTGTACGACGACTCTCTCTTTTCTTTCAAAGGCGCAGCTGTTAGACCAATTAATGCTATCCCAAATTTCCTCCCTGATATTCTTTGCTTTATGCCCCCAGCTTTTTCCATGCTCATTTAAGGATGTTTTTCTTCTCTAGTACATTTTTTTTTCTTGCTAACCTGCTGTCTGTCCGTCCAACAAATGTTTCAGTTCACACTCTATCTTTCATATCAAGTTTTCGCTTCTTTTCTAAAGATTCTATTTCTTTGTTGACATTATCCCTAATTCCATGTTTTAATATTTGCCATCTTTTCATCTAATTTTGCCAAAACGTTTATCGTTATTTGAGAATGGTTACCTCTTAAGGCCAACCATCTGCATGCTGACACGCTGCTAACATAGACTGGGAACAGTCAGTTCTTATGGAGTCATTCTTTCCGCTCTCCAAACGTGCTCTTGCGTGGATGGCTGTCTTTAAAAGCTTCCCGGGAAGCTGAAACAAATGAGGCTTTACCTAGAGAAGGCCCTCTTCTTCTCTCCGAGAGCTGGACTGAGGGAAAGATTCCTTCAGCCTCATCAAGGTTATATGAGACTACGGCCAAGTAGAACTTGTCTTCGTTTTAAACTTTTCTCTGGTTTCAAATACATGAAGGGGAAATTTGTGGGCACTTCAGGCTTCCCCTGCTCAGAGGGCTTTAGGGCTCTATTGCTCTTGCTCGCTCTCTTCCTCCCCCTCTTTCTCTCCCTTTGTCCTTCTGCCCTCCCTCCCCCTTTCCCTTCCTCCCTCCCTCTTCCCTCTCTATAGT